GATATAAAAAATATAGATCCAGACAGGTAGATACGCAGATATAAAAAAATATAGATCCAGACAGGTAGATACGCAGATATAAAAAAATATAGATCCAGACAGGTAGATGCGCAGATATAAAAAAATATATATAGATCCAGACAGGTAGATACGCAGCTATAAAAACACATAGATCCAGACAGGTAGATACGCAGATATAAAAAATATAGATCCAGACAGGTAGATACGCAGATAAAAAAATGTAGATCCAGACAGGTAGATACGTAGATATTGAAAAACAGGTTTATTTGGATATTTTTCAATAGCTGCGTATCTACCTGTCTGGATCTATATTTTTTTTTATAGCTGCGTATCTACCTGTCTGGATCTATATTTTTTATATATCTGCGTATCTACCTGTCTGGATCTATATATATTTTTTTATGTCTGCGTATCTACCTGTCTGGATCTATATTTGTCTAGATAAATAATAAATGTCTAGATTTTTCACTAAATCTATAACTGAAGACTGAAAATTGTAGGTTTATCTAAAGATTAAAACACATAGAAGTAAACCAATAAAGACTAAAAACATAGAAATAGACATATACAGCAGCTAGGTCGACTGAAAATAAAAACAGAAGACCGCAAAAGCCTAAACTGTAGAAATAGACACATACATAGATATCTATACACAGAAAATATAGTTCTAAACACATAGATAAGACTGAAAAATATAGAAATAGACAGATTAATAAATGCGGAAATAAAAACAGAGATAGAAATATATAGAAATAGTCACATAGATAACTGAATATTGAAAAATATGGGTAGTATATCCTAATTAATTTTTTAAAATGTGTGTTTTGAAGTCTGTGTCTATATCTATATTTTTCTAAGTATTTATGTGTCTATGTACTTTAAAGGCTTGGTATTTCATTGTTTTTTAGTATACTGATCTGTCTTTCTATTTTTTTTCAGTCTTCTGCTAAATGTCTATTTCTATAGTTTAAAGTCTTGCTGTCTGTATGTCTATTTCTATATTTGTTCAGTCATTACATATCTATGTGTCTATTTCTATATTTGTCTTTATTTATTATTTAATTTAAATAGCTATTTGTGTATATAGCTTTATTCATTAGTCTTTAAAACTGCCAGCAGCAGCAGATCTAGGTTGATGAGTCCAAATCTAAACTGTGGCAGCAGCAGCATAATCCAGTTTGTTTGCTGAAAGCCTCCTAGTAGTGGTGGTACAGAGATCTGTTCTCATCATTATTATCATGTGTATTTACTACTGTACATGTACTGTAGTATTACTCAGAAGGAGAGGTCCGGGGTTAGTTCTTAGTGTGCTGAAATCCTGCAGGAAATGGGTGGTCACAGCAAATATAAGCATTTTAATTTCTCTTCAGTTCCTTCACTTTGCACTGAAAACTGAC